GAGAACGCTATCAGGTGTCTTAAATTTCATTTCTCCTTTTGTTTTTTATTTCGTGCACGTCTCATTTTCTTTTTCTATAATTATTATCCTTATTTCTCCTATCTGTACTAATTATGGGATCATCTTCCAATGCTGCGCATTCATTTGTTTTAATCTGTTTGCAAGTTTTTCTACTTTTTCTGTCAGATTAGGACTACTAAAATTTTCTTGTAATTCAGCTAATCCCAAAAGGTTACGGTGTCTCCCAAGGAAAAGCTTAACATTGCGTTTTTGACAGAAATTGTGACGTCATATTTTTCGATGATGTCCCTACCTAAGATCCCGTGATTTCAGGCTTTACTAAATAACAATCATGATAAAATACTAATTGTCCTATTTTAAATTTCAATCTAAACTTTCCAATCGTTTCTATGACATGTCCTGTAACACTAACTAAGTCTACTGCCTTTGTTTTGGCTTGCAGCAATTGTTCTATGTTGGGGAAAAGAGTACTAGTTATTAGTGTAACAGCTGCACCAGTATCTATCATTAATCATACTTTTTTGTTTTCAATTTCACAAATCATCGTGCACGGGGATAAATATTTACCTTTCGATTCATTAATTCCTGCTAATTGGGTTTGAACTGGACCTTCGGACGGTTGTTCTATCTCATGATTTTGTTCCTTAAAATTTACTGAAGTAACTCTATCTATTTCTTGCGTTTGATTATTCTTTATTGGTTTATTTTTGGGACAGGCAATGCTAATAATCTATGAGGGGCTATGTTGTTTGGTGCGCTCTCTATGCTGGAGCTGTTTCCAAAACAACTTTGTTCGTAACGCAGGGAATAAAGGGGTAATGGTTCACTTTGTCTGTCGTTTCCGTATTCGACAGGCCGAAATTGGTGGTTCTGAATGGGATAACAGCTTCGTAAACATGTTGGAAAAATCACACCTACTCGATAACTACAAGCAGACAAATCCCTATATCGATTTTTATTAGTCACTTAGATCACAAATGATATAAATGCAAGAATATTCAACACATCCCATCCCAGGATGTGTTGGATATAGCAAATCACCTTAGTAACTGGACATCCAAACTCTGCCTAAATCCACCTTTGTCCACCCTTCCGTCCATAACAAGTTTCATTTTTCTTTATCGTTCTTCTGCCTGCGTCGATTTTTTTATGAATTAATAATTAATCCACATGCAAGTATTTACATTTTTCCGTAATTTTTATGGGCCATTTCCAATCCGTTTGCTATTTACAATCTAATTAAAACCAGGTTTTTACAGTCGAAAAGAGAAATAATACAGGCTACTGTATATATATCCCGTATTTTAATTATATGCTATGTATACCATCTCCAATATAACAATATGTACCAATATTAAAAAACAGTTCTTTTTTTTGTGATATGGGTAAACAAAATCTGCACTTTAATACTTTTCTCACTGCTGTTCTCAATCCGTGGTCCACGGAATACAGGTACAGTAGACCCCCCTATAACGCTTAGATACGTTCCACGCTAACCGAAAATTACGTTGTAGGAATGAGCCAATCGCAGCCCGATAGGTGGGAACTTTACGGACTAAGGCTGTTCGAAAGGTTTTCTTCTATAAAATTAACCGATTCTAGACTAATTCCACTCAACATTTCCAAAANTGTTAAAAAATATTCTGGAGTCTGTCTCTATATTTTTAGTTAATAAAATTTCATTGGGATTTGGGGATATGTCTTTGTCCTCTTCTCGCTCAAAGTTCATTATCAATATTCCAATGACTAGAATCATTTTTGGGCGTTGACTGCTTCTTTTGAAATTCTCACTTGCCAGTGATTACGGGATCCAAACTCGATAAAAAGTTTAAAATATATGTGTTAGTTTTCTCCCGACTACATTTTCTGGCATAATGCTCTCTGTACCTTTTAAAATCTTTATTGCTAGCTTCTCAAGCCTTGGCTGTAGTACAAAACACACAAGTATTTTATACACGGGCACATAATACCAAGGGTATTTTTCAACGAAGTATTTCACTGTATTATGTCAGAATGCTCGAAATTTTGCAACATCAATCTAGTATCTAGACACCACTATCATTATAGTGTGTATTTTTTTTAATTAAATCTGTCTACTTTTGTGATTTTGGCAGGAATTTACTCTATCAATCTTGTCGTGAAACGACGTTATAGGAGGTACGTTATACGAAAGTTGCTACAATTTTTTCGCTACGTTATAGGAATTGTCGTTATAGGGGGGTCGACTGTATTCCATGAAAGAATAAAATATACAATTAAAACAATTATTGCAGAAGAAAAATCAATACAATGTAAAATAATTTCTGTATGGGAATATAATCAGTAAATACCAATGATGTCATATACTAGACCAAATGCACTCTTGATTTCAAAAAATTTTGCCACCTCTATTTTAAAGCTGATGTGTCTTAAGTGTTCCGTGGAAGAAATGTCAAAGTTTAGTATTCCCGACTTCAAAAAGATTGATAACCACGGGTCTAATGTGCTCACTTGCCTTAATACGCCCATTCAAACTTTGTGTATGACTTCATTCTAAACCACACTCACTACATTAGACAGTTCAACCACTACAGTTTTAATCATATTTTCTACTAAATCATCCATTATTTCGCTTTGCACGTAGGGGATTCTAAATATATAAGGCTCANTAAAGCTGATGTGTCTTAAGTGTTCCGTGGAAGAAATGTCAAAGTTTAGTATTCCCGACTTCAAAAAGATTGATAACCACGGGTCTAATGTGCTCACTTGCCTTAATACGCCCATTCAAACTTTGTGTATGACTTCATTCTAAACCACACTCACTACATTCCTTTTTTAGAGCCCTGCATCAGAATCAGTTCGGCTTCTCTAGAAACAAAGGTACTGTAGATGACATCCAACGCATTGTTAATTATATCCACCAGGCTAAGCTTAATAATCAGCATACGGCAATTATCACTATTGACTTTAGAGGTGCCTTCAATCACACCTGGTAGCCTTCTATCTTGCACATGTTACACACTCATCACTGCCCTTAAAATATTTACAAACTTCTTCAATTCTATGTTAGCGACAGGAGTGCAGGTGTTTATACAGCACAAAATAACATAATCATACCCATCACTCGGGACATCCCCAAGGTTGACACTACTGCGATTCTTTGCTACTTTTATCCTAGTTACACCCCCACGCAGCAACTTTAAGCAATACTTGCATAGATTTAACCTCGGGGACAATCTACAATGCGATTGTGGCATTTGGGAGGACCAAACACCACTTCACTTAGTTTTACAATCACATTAGGGATAGTTTAAGGAGAGCTGCTATTCTTGAAGGGTACAACTGGCCTCGCAACCTGCAGCAACTCATTCACACGCGTACAATGTTCCATCATCTACTCTCATTCATATCTCTTAGTAGGGCTCTCGAGAGCACTCATTCTGGGACACAGATGGCAATTAGCTTTCCCTCGCTTTGTTTCAACTGTCGGTATATAGCTGCCTTTCAACTTTGTATTTTAATTCTTATTTTCTGTCTTCTTTTTCAGTCTGAATTTGGTTAGTCCTAGTTGTAAGTTAGATTAGGGACTCTTAGCTTGGTTTCCGGTTAAGTTAAATTAGATTAGGGTTGTTAGCTTTAGTTGTCTGGTTAGGTTCGTTTTAGGTTATTTTATTCAGTTAATAAGTTAATGTTAAAAATAAAAAATTGGGGTCTTGTTTGTCTTTTGTCAGTCCATTTGTCTCATCTAGTTTGTCATTGTGTTTGTTTGCTTTTCATGCTGTCTGTCTAGCTGTTAAGTAGTATTAAGATTCGTGCTCGTGTTCGGTTTTAATAGTATTAAGTATTAGTCTCCCTACTAACAGCACCTTGGCACTAACTTGAACACAGCTATTCATGGCGGCGCTTAATCATTAGGTTCGCTACACTCAGGGTTTCTTTTAGACCCTTTGGGGGACTACGGCCTTTCAGCCTAAAAACTATATGCTAACATCAAACATAGAGGATACTATAGCCATACGTACAGTACACCATTCAGAGGAATCCTATCTTTCTTTACTGTCTATCTCCTCTCCCTCCTCCTTCCCCTTACCCTCTTTTCTGCCAGCTGAAGACCTTGTGTACAGCAGATGTCTTTCTTGTATGTATGTATGTATGTACATATCACCACAAAATATCTATTGCATTTCTATAAATCAATTAATTTCCATCTACATTCAATTTGTTACGGGTGTGTCGTTCGTTTAACATGGTTGTAGTTTTTTTCCACTGCTCTGTGTGATAACCTCATACTAAATAAACAAATGGAAATACTTGGATACAGAATTCTAAAGTGCTCGGTTCTGAGTAGTTTTGGAAGAAAATTCTCTGCCAGAAAATGCTTCTTGCAGTGTATTTGACACCATTTACAGAAGATGGCTAACAACCGGAGGTTGTACTCGGCCTTTGTGCGCTTAATGATTAAGTTCTGCTTATGTATAGTGTGACTAAACTGCATTGTTTAAAAAAATGACAGACAAGTTTTAATCCAATCTTGGATGGCACGACATCAACATTAATTACCGAGTATTTCATTAAAGTATAAACACGTTCCCACTTTTATTTGTCAAAAAATAAAATTTAAAATCAAATGAAACTAAAATGGAGTGTGTGAGTTCGTACTTAGAGTACATTTTACGCTAACCGGTAAAGGCCGTGGAAAGATTCCATCTCAAAATTATCCTGGAGGGTAAAAGACAAACTTTAAATTGGTGGCAGCGACCCCTTTCCCACACATGGACGAGAATTAATGGTGCCGCTCCCCAAACATCTTTAATTGTTTGCAGAGTTTAGTACATAAAATATACTTACGATAATCATTAACATTTTCTTTTTCGACACAAACGGATGGGTTATGTGTGTTTATTTTCGGCAAATATTCTTTGCTACACTTCGTCGTCGATAACTGCAAGGAATGCCGTGTACCCGTTTAATATTGTAAATGATTTTAAATAGTTACTTTCTCAAATTTATAAAAATTTTATTTTCAAATTGATGACAGCAATTCTTAAACATTTTAATTAATACTCGAATTGAAAATCAAAATATGGAGGATCGAACGTGTGAATTCTAACGTAACCGTCTTCTCCGCCACTGCTGTAACTGAAATAAGAAAAATAACTTCAAAATTATTGACTTAAAAGGTAAAATTTTTGAATTATTTAATAATAATAAAAACTCTTTACACTCAGATTATTATTATTTTATGCATAATGGTATAAAATTGACTCCGACTGTTTGAATGAGTGCTTCTTTCGGTCAATTCTGATCTAATACCAGTGTGGCAAGAGAGCATTAATTTAAAACTGGCATTAAATCAAATCTTAATTGATTCAATTTTCAAATTGTACATTTGTTTTTGGGGCTATAAACAGTGTTAAAAAATATTCTGGAGTCTGTCTCTATATTTTTAGTTAATAAAATTTCATTGGGATTTGGGGATATGTCTTTGTCCTCTTCTCGCTCAAAGTTCATTATCAATATTCCAATGACTAGAATCATTTTTGGGCGTTGACTGCTTCTTTTGAAATTCTCACTTGCCAGTGATTACGGGATCCAAACTCGATAAAAAGTTTAAAATATGTGTGTTAGTTTTCTCCCGACTACATTTTCTGGCATAATGCTCTCTGTACCTTTTAAAATCTTTATTGCCAGCTTCTCAAGCCTTGGCTGTAGTACAAAACACACAAGTATTTTATACACGGGCACATAATACCAAGGGTATTTTTCAACGAAGTATTTCACTGTATTATGTCAGAATGCTCGAAATTTTGCAACATCAATCTAGTATCTAGACACCACTATCATTATAGTGTGTATTTTTTTTAATTAAATCTGTCTACTTTTGTGATTTTGGCAGGAATTTCTGCATTCTGAAAAAATCGTCTCTCTATGTTGCCATCATTTGTGCTACCGAATCCAGATTTCGAACAATCAAACTACATCATTCTCTAAATTCGTTCTGAATTCTAGTTTCGTTTTCTGATATTTTTTTTATAAATTGCCACTTGAGAAATGGCGAGCTCGTGGCAGCAATAAGCCAATCGCAGAAGACACTGAAATACGTGAATCCATCCATGTAAGACAGATAATCGGAATTTCAAGTTCTCAAAATCGTGTTGAAATTGTTTCTGTAAGTGCATTGCATACTTTGTCATCTACCGTGGTAAAGCTTAAATAATGACCAACTTCCGGTTGCCTTTCTCGATTATCCACACTGTTTTTTGAATTTTTTACTTTATCTACTCGCCTTACGTTGGTAATTGGTTCCAGGAAAGAGATGTAAGTCGAAAAACGACATAAGTCGAATTTACTTGTCTCTAGGCTAAACCATAAATTACCATTTCCGGTTCTGTATTTTATTTATTAATGCATTTTTAATAATATACAGTCAACCCCCCTATAAGATATAGATACGTTCCAATTTATTAGGAATCCGATTTCTTACAAGTTGTTCCAATCACAGCCCGACACGTGTCAAGTTTACGGACTATGGCTGATTGAAAGGTTTTCTTCCATAAAATTAATCGATTCTACACTAATCCGACTCAACATTTCCAAAATACGTATATTTTTTCATAGTTTTATAGGAATCGTAATTATAGGGACCGTAATTATAGGGGGGTCGACTGTATGGTTAATAAGGATCTATTTTAAGCTTACAAACAAATAAATTTTAGTTTTTAATATAGTACAGAAAAAAGTAATCTAAATTTACAAATTCATGTGCGTACAGTATATACTTGTAAATGTATATATTTTAATATGATTTTATGTGCTTTAAACGCTTTTCTAGTGATATTATGACTTCAATATTTGTGGCACACAGACGTAAAGTTGAATAAAATGACGTATAATCGGAAACGACGTAACTCGAAATGACGTAAGTCGAGGTATACCTGTATTCTATTTTTGTCCACAATTGATGCATTTGTAGACACACTTGCAAATTCTATTTTTAGAGGTCTACAATATCTTGTAAGCGTGGGGTGTGGGTTTTGTCGTATAATTTTTTTCTCTGCAAACGAGGCAAAGTGGTACTGGGCACGTAATAAAAATGGTCTAATCACTTGTTTTGGAATAATAGAATGCTTGCTTGTATGAACTGTGAATCCATCAAAATTCCACTCTGATATCAAGCATTGCTGATACAGTTCATTCTGAAGAGACTCAATGATAGGGTCCTCCATTAAAAGTAAATGCGGTGTGGTGTGGCAATGTATGTAATGCAACGGAAGCACATAATATCTTTAGGATAACAGAGCTTCTTTGCAGCTTGAACTGTTTTATATGGAAGAGATCTTTCTGGATAATGTCGGATTGATGATGAGACAGTTTTACATCTACCAAAACTAGAGTACATCAGCTATTATTGTTCCAGTGTTTCATGTATGCTTTCCTATACCAGCTCTCTCACTTTGGACTTGCTGTTGTTATCTCTTTCAGAACATTTGAGGCTCGGGCTTTCCACACCTAGAAACGTCAAGAAAAGTAAAAAATTTCAGGTTTTTTGTGTTTGGATGTTCTATTGTGCTCCACCATACATATAACACACACCACACAAATGTGCTTATGTGGTGTGTATATATGGAAGTAGAATCTCCTAAAGGTTTTGTTCCCTCAGAACATAATAAACATGGTCACCCAAATGTTTCGTCTGAATTCTCTTTAAGTCGAAAGAAGGAAATTGATGTATCCAGCCATTCCTTATCTTTCTGAAAATTTTCATCGATTCTGCATGCATTCATCCGACGAGACTTACACTCTGACTTAAAATCCGATAGTTTTCGCTTTAAATCTCTAAAATGCTTTTCAACATTACATTTAGTTCGTTTCTCAATTTCTTCGATCGAAACATTAAATTATTGTTCTATTCTATCACGTCCAGAAGTTCTCTTCCCCTGGTAAACAAACATTGTTTGCATTTGAAGTCGTCCCTAAAATAAAGCAAGGCGTGAAAGCATTCCTGCCAACTTGAAAACAGAAGGTGAAACATGTTACGGCTAGCCAGAAAAATTTAAGTGTAGCAAAGAAAGTAGCAAAAAGTAGCAGAAAAAAAATGATGTTCCTATATCACTATAACCAACATTTATTCAGAAAACGAAGAATCTACTATTTTTTAATATATATAAATGCTTGTAAATAGAAACTCAAGTTACTAAAATATAACTACATAGAACAATGTTCCAACTGTTGCAAAATTACTGATCGAACACACCAACAGAACAAATTTGAAAAATCAAAAATGGCCCATGCACTTTCCTCAGCTAATTCGCTTCGATTTAGTGCTCTCAGATAGGAAAAGGGACGAGTTCACCAAAATTTCATTGTTGTTTTGTATATGTTCAGTTTGTGGTCTATTGAAATGATGTAAAAAGAAGTATGTATTGTATTTAGCATTTCGTTTTTTTATATTTTGCCAGGATTTTTTAGCTCTCTTGCCCCCACTGTATGATGATGGCAGTGCTGCAGCCAGGAGCAAATCACCTGAGGAGCTAGAGGGAAAACTGAAGAAAATTGAATAGTATCTTTTTCCTAGACAGCATTATGCCTATTTACAGTTTAAATGTAAAACTTAGGTTACTGTTACTTATGTGATGAAAGCAAATGCTTTATAGTAATGGGATGTCCTTAAAAGCCACCATTACATAAAACAGTACATTGAGACATGTTATGATGACGAAACAATTATAAGGTGGAGTGTCATAGATAAGTTTTAAAATTTTAATGTTTTTCATACAGCTGAACATGTATCTCAAACATGTCTATCTTGAAATTTATATTCTGTAAACTGTAGATGTTTTGGGAGAAAATTATTTATCTCATATTACGGATTGAAATGTCAATTATAAATTCAAATCTAGGCAAATACATATGATTATTGATAGCATAAATTGTAGTTGAGAAACATTTCTTGAAATACAGTACATAGTTAGAATTAATGCTGTTTTTCTCCGACTGGCTAAAAATTTGGTTTGCATCTTATCAGTTGGAAACAATGGACAAACTATTTTTGTTAGGTATAAATAAAACATTTTTGACATATCTTAATACAGGTTTGTATTGTACTTGCTATTGCAGTGTTTCCCAGCCTTTTTGAATTAGTAATGCACTAATTTTTAAAATAAATTACAGTTGCTTTAAAAAACTTACCGGGCAAACACTCACAATTTTATAAAATATACCATAAAAATAAAAACACAATTCAAATCAATATGTAAAGGGCTAGTATTGATCTTTGGAGCTTCTATAAATGACTTATCGACTTAGAGTTGATACGCCTGCATATGCGTAGAGGCATATAACTTTTGTGAGGGGGGTATGCCAATGCTGCAAATTTTGCAGTAATCGACATTTTAGCGAATATCTCCTTCTCCCTTTGGTCGGCTAGAGGTAATAAGATGAAAGATAAGTGAAATTTTAAGAGAGAGCTTATTCAAAATTCTAAAAATTTTTTTTTTGCAATACACCCAAGCACTGTGCTATTGTACAAATAAAATACAATTAATAAAATGCCATACCGTCAATCAAACCTATTACTGTTTACTGTGTAGAAACCTCTAAACCTCGAAACCTATCTATCTAAATTTCTTTTCTTGTTCCCATGAGATTCAAGATATACAAGTTTGATTGTATTTGCCTGTCCCATAAATAGACAAGTATTTTATAAGCAAACATTTATCACAAGAATATAAATAAAATCCATTAATGATTTGAAGAGAAAAAGTTCAATCACAACAGGACCAAGGTTGAGCATACTGTTTGCAAAGCCTCAACAAGAAAAAAGGCAACAGTCTGATGATTTGGGCCACTTTCAGCTGGAATGGAAACACCTTTATCATTTATTGAGTGTTGAAAGATGCTGGAAGAATATTTATTACCTATGCAGAAAGTATTGCTGGGTCAACCATTTTTTAAACGAGATAATGCACTTGTGCACGAGTCTAAGAGTATGAGTGATTCTTGAATAATGGGGTACCAATAACTGATTAGTACCCTGATCTTAATCTCATAGAAAACATACGGGACATGCTAACTCTTGCCATTTATGGAAAAGGGCAACAGTACAGATTGTTTGAAGAGCCGAGAAACAAGACTAAATGAAAATGGGAAGAAATACCTCAAATCTATCTCAACATTTCATTTTGTATATACTAATAATATTTTTGTTAGATACAATTGGTTATTAATTTATGTAAAAGCTTTGCTATTGTTTAGATTATTGTGTCATTGTTTAGATGATTGCTTTATATTTATGTGACATGCAAATATTGAAGATGTTAAATACCTTAAAACCTACTTACCCTACAATACTTTACCTTAAACATATCATATTAACACAATAATATAATGCATAGGTTATATTATCATAGCACTATTATAATAATAAACAAGCTTGGACAAGCTTAACTGATTGATTTGCTTTTGTGGAGCATGCTAATATTAATTTTGTTTAAAATAAATTTTATAAATTAGAATCAAGTAGTTGTTCAGAAGAATTTTTTACTGAATATACAGTAAGGGATGTGGTTTATCAATTCCAGAGGAACCGCATAGTTTTTACTTTAGCTTAACTGAACATTTTTGTTTATGGTCACTGTACCTTTTGTGCATGTGTTTGTTCATGCAAAATAAATGGATTGAATGGAGCATGCAAGTGCACATCTGACACACACAAAGTCACATAAGCACTTCACCACTATAGTGGAGCATGCTATAAAAAACAAATAAGGAATGTCTTTCTACTATTAAGCACTGCTAACTAAGCTTAGCCACATCATAACTACAGTTCTGGAACTGTTTATTTTACACTTAACCTGAATGTAATTTATTAAAATTTTCAGCAATTGTCCAAAATAAAAACCATTTGCATAAAAACATTAAAATCATTCATAACTCCAACCTTTTTCCATCAGGGTGAAATGCCACGCTGTTAATAGGACCGAAGTGATCTTTTACCCTTCCAAATTCTTCTTCAAAAACCAAGTGGAAAAATCGAGCATCAAACTTTCCCGCTCTCGTGGAAGTCGTCGTGACGTCCATGGCTTCTTGGCCTCCGCCCATTACTACCTAAAACAAATTTACAATTAATATTTATGTATAAAATACAAATTAATTCATAGTACTTTGTACTTCTGTTTGCATTAATTATTTCAAACAATTACATTATATTTAATTGAAAAATGTCACTACAAAAAATTTGACTGCTTTTTTGATAAGTTTGATACAATGACACCAATAATTTATTTTTTCTGAGTGAATAATAATAGTTGTAAAAATTAACAATTATCATTTAATGTGGATATGTTATGTAAGTTTTTTTAATATTTAATTACAGTAGTACCTCAGGATACAAACGCTTCAGCATACGAAATTTTCAGGATACGACACGAAATTCAAACATTTTTTTGCTCCACGGTACAAACAAAACCTCACCATACGACATTACATTAGTTCACAGTGCCACTGCCATGTGTTCGTTCTGTTCATCGGTCTCAGTCCACATGTTTGCTTCGTCATGGAAGGATCTCGTCGATAAAGGAAATCTCGAGGTATTATCAGAAAGTGCCTGATTTTATTGAAAAGAAACATCCCGAAAAGGTTCACACTGGCCGTATTGCTGCTCAGTTTAATGACATTTGACTAAGTCATTTTAGAAATATTTAAAAAAGCCAAACCTCTTTGGATAGATATTTTACCAAGCAATCTCTATCCACCAGTGAAAGTGCTGGTGGAAGTAAAGGAAAGAAAGCAAAAAGCAGTGAATAAAAAATTAAAAAAATATATAAAACAGAAAAGATAAAAAAATTAGTGTTAAGTTATTGTTACATTATGTTATGTAAGTTAAGTTTTAGTACATATCATTTCCCTTCTCCCTTGACACCAGTTTACACCTCCACTTTTGTCTATCCTCAAAGGTAAAGTACAAATAAAACTACATTTTTTATCAATTATTATTCTATTATGGTTATTTATATGTTTACAAATACAAAATGCATTTTTCAGTGTTTTCCTTACTAAAGGTTTTTTTCCAATGTACTACTTAGCTTTAATTTGAGTGATTTTTTCGTGTTGGAACAGATTATTTGGTTTTGCATGTAATCATATGGAGAAAAATGATTCCTCTTATGACATTTTCATGATGTGATCTCAGTTCGGAACGGATTAATTTCGTATCCTGAAGTACTACTTTACTAGAATCAGTATAAAGTGCAATCCCCAATTAAATTTTTAATTTAGTCAGGGATTGGTACTGGAATAATATTAAAATTTCCTTCAATAAAATTTTCTGATTTATTAAATATTACACAAAAAAAAAAATTTAGTATTATAATGAACATAAAAAGTTCCTACATATATTCCACAAACATGTGGAAACTTTAATTTAAATCCTACTGATAAGTGGCCATCGGCACTAATAAGAGATGAATGATCGCAATCTCGGAAAATTTGGAATTATAGCTAATCACCAAACATATGCCGTAAATCCATCGGGCTAGTTTTAAGGCTAATTACTAAATTTATTTAATAATTAGCCTTATAGTAATTTATTTAGTAATTAGCCTTATAGTAATTTATTTAGTAATTAGCCTTATAGTAATTTATTTAGTAATTAGCCTTATAGTAATTTATTTAGTAATTAGCCTTATAGTAATTTATTTAGTAATTAGCCTTATAGTAATTTATTTAGTAATTAGCCTTATAGTAATTTATTTAGTAATTAGCCTTATAGTAATTTATTTAGTAATTAGCCTTATAGTAATTTATTTAGTAATTAGCCTTATAGTAATTTATTTAGTAATTAGCCTTATAGTAATTTATTTAGTAATTAGCCTTAAAACTAGCCCGATGGATTTACGGCATATGTTTGGTGATTAGCTATATTACATCGGGTTTAGCGATGTTTATATATTTTACGCCTTGCCGGGGCTTGCGATGGCCGGTTGAGTGCCTTATAGGAGTAGGACGTGGGCACTGAATGTGTCCCCAGCCGGCATTGTAATAACCGTCGATGGTTACATAGTTATACGCTGGAAGAGGAGATCGGATCGGAGGTCCGGATAGCGTAACTGGCAACGCATCTGCACGGTAAGCAGGAGTTGTGGGTTCGAGTCCCGCTCCGGGCCGATTTTTTCTCCCAGCGGTTCTAAATTATTTAAATTAATTAATTTATTTATAATTATTAATATTAATAAGAGATGGCGCCTAACGCTTACCTCTAGTGCCAAATTAATTACGTAATTTATTTAGTAATTAGCCTTAAAACTAGCCCGATGGATTTACGGCATATGTTTGGTGATTAGCTATATTACATCGGGTTTAGCGATGATTATATATTTGGAATTATTTTGGCAATTTTTAGACATTCATCCAAATGAAAGATGAGCAATTTTGGAGCTTGGCAATGAAATAAAATGACGTATTTGTCTAGACCGAACACATTACAATATCATTTGAATCAAATAATAATAGTATGTATATTTGTAGTAGAAATACTTCATTTTATAAACTAAATAAAAATCATGTCTGCATTTGTCTCCCAATCTTTAATCTTATAACCATTGATAATGATGATAAACTATAAGGCCGAGACTCCACTACTGTAAAAATGGCATAAAATCCCTCGCCGTAAAATATTTTACGACCTGCTCATGTGCAAAATATCAAGGTCACGTGATTAAAAGCTTTTACAGCGAGGGATTTTACGCCATTTTTATGGTAGTGGAGTCTCAGCCTAAGGCAGTTTCAGCTGTATGTTTTATTTATCCAATATGTATACATAATAAAAAATCAATGAACTCCTTCAAAAAATCTACAAATGGGGTAATGATTATAAATTGGTATTTAATCCATTAAAAACAAATGCAATTGTCTTCAATAAGCCAGGGCACAAAAATTTATATCTTAGACCGCCCCACATAAAAATGAATGATAAAACCATCAAAGTCAACAGGACCATCAAGTATCTTGGAGTTATATTAGATCACAGACTATGTTGGCAACAACATATTGAGTATATGGTCAAGCGTACAGGACTAATACTACAGTCTTTTGCCCAGGTTGCGAAAAAAGAATGGGGCCTGTCCTCGGGGGCGATGTCAATTATATATGATTGCATATATTTCCCAATCATTACCTATGCCTGTGGCACCTGGGGCTGGGTGACAAACAAAGTTCATATCAAACGAAAACTAATATCATCACAAAGAACTGCCTTACTTTTAATAACCAAGGCGTACTGTACTACCAGTAACACCAGCCTTCAAGCCATTGCCAGGAAACCTCCGCTGGACTTATCGATTAAACAAAAAATGAATCTACAAAGAGCTAAATGGGGAGAGGCGATCGAACTCAATCATCAAAGAATTACACATAATGAAATTGAATGGCATTTCCCATACTGTAATACTCACCATTATAATACAGCTGTGCATTATAAAGATAATGAAAATGGGATTGAAAATATCAAAGTGTTTACGGATGGATCAAAACACGATAACATGGTTGGATGCTCCTTTGGTTGGTTGGTTGGTTATGGTTTTTTGGCACAAGAGCCATATAGGCTAAGCTGCGCCATAACAAATGGTAAATAATTATAAACATCACAAATAACAAACATATGACAAAAACAAATAAATAAATAAATAAACAACAGCAACAAAAAAA